CTTAAAGCCTCTTCTCGCCATAAAGTAGATTTTTTTAAATTTAACTGAAATAGTTAAAATTTGAGTTTATAATTAATGATTACTATTAAATAATATTAAACAATACTCGTTATAAAGAAGGAAGCGTCCTAATCGGAATTTTTATATATTTTCAATTATGTAATAATTTCTCAAATAAAAATCTGATAATTAAGATTTGTAAATAGTGTTTAGAAGCTCTCCATTAACCCAGCAGTCATTTTCATCTTTTATTTTATAACAATTTTAAACAAAGGTATAACTTGGAAAAAAACTATTAATAAAATATTTTTAAAAAAAAACTAGAATTAAATTATTGGAGATAAGTGGTTTTTTTCTGCAAAAATATCTATAATTTTTTTTAGAATTAATTGAAGTCAGTTATAAAAATTTAATTGATGAAAATTATTATCACTTAAATGTAAAAAATTATTTTTGAAATACAAAAGTATTATCTACTTGGTTTTATTCGGTGTTATAGTCTTTATATTTGCGGCGACAGACGTTATTAATCTAAAACAAAGAAGTAGGGCCTTAACAAAGGTGCTAAAATTTATGATTTTTAAAAAATATCATTTTAAGCTAATAATCTCAAAACATAACCTCCCTATCTCTCCCCCACCTCCCTCTCCTTTAAAAATGAATAATTAGCTATACATTTTTTTAAATATAATATAGATAATTTTTAAACATAATGACCATTTTATATCTTTTCGAGAAAAAAGGGGGGTTTTCTTTAAAAAATGAAAACCCAAAGAAATTTTTTTTAAAAATGACCCCCCCCCCCCCAATGAAAATCCTAGATAGGCCAGTGGTAGGAGTGAAGTGTATAAAGATTGGTTAAAATAAATAGGGTATCACGTCAATTAAGCCCTCAAATTCTGCGCAGCTTCAATTCGGTGCCTATCTAATAATAATTTATTAGTATAAAACAAAAGGATTATTAAATAGAAGTCATGTTAAGGATTCGTCCTATTAATATATTTTTCATTTTTTTTTACAAAAATCTCAATTTTGATTTTTATAATTTTTAATATAAAACTTATATCTTAAAATGGAATATTTTTTATTATAGTTTTTATACATGTCGCTTGTTTTATAATTTGAAAACTTAAAATATATTTATTTATGTCCAGCTTTTATTTTGTTAAAATTAATATACCTTGTAAGTATACCCTACAAAAATAGAATCGAATAATTGCATTATTCGTATTCGTTTAAATCAAATAATTCATTATTCGTATTCGTACGAATAATAAAATAATTATTCGATTTGATTCGTCGAATATTCGATTCGAAAATATTATTTAACAATAAATTAAAAAAGATCGATTATAAAATTTATTTTGTAAAATTTAACTAATTTTATTAGTATGATAAAATAGAAGCATACATATATAGTATATTTATATATAATGTAGAAAAATAAATATAATATTTATATCATGTATAAGACATATCTGACAACAACCAATTCTTCAAACACAAAGTTTTTAACTATACTTCGGATTTTATACTATCACCAAATGTATATGAGATGATAGCTTTCAAAAATTTATCACAAAATGATAAAATATATTTTAATTAATTTTGATATAAGTTAAAAATAAAATTACATGTACTTATATTAAATTTTATACAGATTTACTTATAAAATATTTTTTACAAAAATGATTTGGATTTATAAGTTTTACTTTAAATATAAAAACTGTTCATAAAATTTACAAATGACCCCCAACATTATTTTAAAAAAGTTAATAGATTATTAATACCTTGTATATGAGTAAATTGTAGGGAATAATAGATTGTCAAAAAGCTATGCAATCTAAAAATACAAAACTCACATCTAGCAATATTTTACAAATAAAGTGGTAAAAATTTAGGCAAAAAGTAAAATTTATGATTTCTCCATCATCAAACAAAGGAGAAATATCTGCATCGCCCGTCATTCTTGAAGGGATAGCTACTAGTTTATTATAATTGTGTATGTGTTATTAATTCCATAAAATAAATACCTTTGTCCATAAAAGAATTTTCTGATGTTGTTTTGGATTATGACGTTATTTAAAATTTTTAAAATATAAAATGCTTCTTCAATATTCCACTAGGAAATTTTATTAAATAAGAATAATTTCAAGTAATTCCTAATTATCTAATATATATATATAATTATTTTTCAACATTTATTAATATAATACTATAAATTATTTTAGTAGAATAATCTCGATCGAATAATAGAAAAAAAATTATTCGACGAATAATATATTTTCCTTATTCAAATTCGATTCGATAATTGTGTTATTCATATTCGTAAAATATGAATCGAATCGAGTCGAATATCGAATAACAAATAATTCATTTTAGGTATACTTGTAAGTTACATTTTTGTATTCATTTGTATATATTATATTTTTATTTATTTATTTATTTTTTAAGGCTAATGTATTATGTAATTTTGTATATTTAGGATTTAATTTTTTTTATTTTAAATTTTATCTTTAAATGAAAATAAATTGCGCAAAAACAATAAGATATTTAATAATATCAAAAAAAATGAATTTAATAAACAAATATTTATACCCAGATTTCTTTGGTGAACCAATTTACCATGTTATAAGATATGTTGATCCAAAAAAAATTAGATAATAGCGATTTAAATATTAAAAAATTTAATTTGATAGGAAATCACGAATTTAAATTGCTTCTCAAGGAAATTTCAAATTTAGGTTAATAATTTAAAATTAATTATTTTTTAAAACCGTTATGAACCGGGTTAAATCGGTTTAAAAATATTTATAACAGTTAGGTTCATTCCTTTTATATTTTCTTTATAATGGTTCGGTTACGGTTCAGAAAATTATAACGGTTCGTTCCGATTTCGCTGTTCGGCTCGAAACCCTGATTTAAATATAACATTTTTTTTTTTAAAATTATTTTGAGGATTTTTAATAAAATGAGTCAATCTTAAAGAAATAAATATTTTTAAGTCAATAATTATTTTCATATCTGATAGATATGATTGGAAAATGCCAACTCTAGCATGAGACTTCCCTTTTATTAATCCCTTACCAATATTTCTAAAAAATTATTTGAATTTTTTTGGATCAATATTAATGTTTTTAAAAACGACCGATTAAGATTTTAACTAAAATAATATAAGATTCGAGATAGTGAGCCAAACCTTGCAATCTATACGCAAAATCTCCTGTTACATAAAATTATTTTGGCTAAAATCTTAATCAGGCCGTTTAACAACACTAATCAAAATACTTAATAACTAAATTGGTCCGCCAAAGAATTCAGGGTATAAATATTGGTTTATTAATTTTTTAATATTACTAAATTTTTTATTGATATTACACATTAGTAAATAAAAAAGAAATAATTAATAGGACCAACATTTAAAATGACTTATATTTAATCATCCTTTTGTTTTATACTAGTAAATTTATAATAAATTGCAACTGTATTAGATACGCGCCGAATTGTTGCCGTACTGAATTGTGGCCGCACCGAATTGTCGTGGAACCATATTTAAAAACAGCTTAAATGATCGGAGCTTAGATATTTGGGATCAGTTGTATCCAGTTTTATGCTTCAAATCGGAAAATTTCGTTGCTGAAAAAAAATGAGTTTTCAATTATATTTTACTCAGTTACCCAAATGGGTGACCAGCAACGAAACTCAAATTAATAATATTATTTATTATAATATAACTGAACTATTTTCTAATATAGCGCTTTTTTTTCTTGAAAAACAACTTGCTTATTTAGTTAAATCATCCGAGTTTCTTTATTACTAAATGGGAGATAAGAATTTGCGTTTTTTTTAAAATATGTTTTTTAAGGATAAATATGAGACTTAACAAAAATTTATTATGTTTAACCGCGACATAAAAAAAATCGATAGTATATATGTATAAACAATAAACATGCTTTTAACAAAAAAGTAATTTGCACGAAATTACTCTTATTTTTTAAAAAAACTAAATATATTAATTCGTAAACTTTCCTTATAAAAAGATTATACAATTACAAATTCAAATTTTTGGGGAGAAATTAATATTTATGTTAATTTTATAATTTAAATAAATAAAAATTATATCAATATTAATCAATTTGTCTTTCACCTTCTTTTTTCATTTTTTTGTTAAATAACGCCTAGAATGTAAATTTGCACTTTGAATTTGAATAGTGTAAGTACAACACATATATATCAACACTCATGAGACCATAAATTTAAAATATTAATATTAGGAAACATTGTAAATAATAAGATTTCTTGAGACTTAAAATATTTTTTAAAAAGTGGAATTACCTAATAAGCAGGTATTCTTACTTGAATTAATATTATATTTCAAATAGCAATTATTTAGATATTAATCAATTTTTTCAGGTTTTTTGGTATCCTTGAGAAAAAAAATCGGCACAATTTTATGAAGGGTAGGCCTTCATAAAATTCACGTTCGCTCATTTTGGGTAGGTCTATGACCAACGTGCTAGATAAGATATTACCCCTTATCGAAATATTTATCTCGAATCTCATGACCAATAATTTTTTATATAAAAATTTTGTAAATTGTGATTTTAGTTCATTTATATTTTCAGCCCTCTAAATTAAAATTCACAGAATATAGCAAAAAATTCAAGTATCTTTTTTCAAATTTAAGTTATGTTTATTTTTAATAGCAATCAAAAAAAATATATTATTATGAAAATCCTTTCCTAAATTAATATTTCAATTTTTAATATTTCGGTCAAAAAAATATTTTTTTAAAAAAATAAGAGTTCGGTAAATATTATATACAAGTAATGTAAGGTGACTTATTCTAACTTTTCTCTTCCACAATTCAAAGCCATTTTGCCACTTACCTATACAAAATATTTAATAATATGGGAATATTCTCAATTTTCCTGGAAAACTTTTTTATTCATCTACATGATTTGTTTATATTAATCAAGATTATAAATAGATACAATTACCTCGCATTCTGAACAGTTCCAATTGATTGAATACATGTCACAATCGATGCGTGTCAGAATCGAATGTAAATCCTTTGTAGATTTCTTAATTAATGTATCTAGACGGTTCAATTTTTTCAAAGTGTTTTTGCATGAATCGAATACGTTTGATCTCTTGAAATTTATTGTTTCGGTATCTGATTTATCTTGATATGAAGCACCTTTGGATATATAGCTAAAATTTTGGAGAATCAAGCTGGCTGAGGAATTAATGGAAACAGGATGCGTTAAGTCTTTTATAGAAAATAAATCTTGCTGGCTTAATAGGTTATACACCGGATATGCATCACAGAAGGATAGATAAGTCTTTTTTAGCATTTGAATCTGCTTATCACCTCGTTTTACTATATTTTTAGGTTTATTAATATTTACAGGGTTTGCGTTAGGTTGTTGAATACCATATCTCTGAGTCTGGCAAATGGATTTGATAACATCCCTTTTGAGTTTGAAATGAGTATTGGAAGAATATACATGAGTTTTATGTGTGTTAATATTTTCCATGTGTTTGGGAAGTAAGTCTTGATTTAAATTGGATATGTTGTAAGTTGTAAAATTGTTTTCTGCACTTGAACTAACTTTGAGCGAAATTTGATTGGCTTCATGCTTGAGTAGATGATGTAAATCATTTCTATTTACTTTTTCTATGTCATTGCTGATTTCATCTTTATCGAACTTTGGTAATATATTGGAAAATGGAAAATATTTCACCGGCTGCATTAAATAATTTCCTTGCTCATAATTTGGATATAGCGAGTTTTCTGATTGCCTTTTTCTGCGTTTTATATGCCGAATATTTTTCGGTGATGGCATTGTAAACCTAATGTTTGAATATAAATATTTTTTAAGTGTTATTACAGTTTGGGAGTGATATGTGGGCGATTTCGCTTGAAAATATCTGGTATAATATGTCTTTACGGTGGACTTGGAGTACAATTTTATAAGGTTAAAGTTAATAATTGAATGCTTGTTAATCTTAAGATATTTTCGCCTTTTATGCCTAATTCTAGTATGGTCCTTTTTAAGTATATATCCAATATAATATATATGATTTAGATAATTGCTTGGTGTTATAATTATGATTCGGGAAAAATTAAAATGATTGTCTGATGATGATAAATTTAAAGGGATATCAAAAGAGTGATTAGATTTTGATGTAATCCTATCAATTACAAACACTGACCAGTTATCGGTTGTGTTATATAAGGCTAGAAAATTAGCAACATATAAAAGGAATCGATCATGTTCTATAAAATTGCGCTTATTTTTCGATAATTTTAATGATGAAAGTTTCCCGTTTTTAAATCTATTACTCAAAATGTCATGAATCTTGATTTTTAGTGATTTATATTTAAATGCACTATTTACATACGGTACAAAGCGTAAAGTATGACTATTGAGTTGTGAATTGAACAGATTTTGACGCAAATAATCTATGTCTAAATTACATAATTTGATTATGAGGTCTTTTATGATGTAGTACTCCTCTCTTTTATAATGTTTAGTTAATTTAAATTTCACCCTATAAAATATGTGAGGCAAACAGATCCTGTAATTCATTGAAGAATAATTAGCGATTCGGAAGCATTTATCGATATAAGGTAATATAGTTTCGGTGTCGGAAGCATAATATAAGAATATCAAGGTATTTGGGTAGGCCATTTTTTTAAAAACCTTTCGCTTACCGTTAAGGTTGTTTATATGTCCCGCTTTGTCGCTACTGTAGGTAGGAAACACTAACGATAGAAACATTGTTACGATCAGCAGAGTTTTAAGGAAAATTGTCAAATGCTTGGACAAATTTCTCACAAATGATAGTAAATCTTTGACGAAAAAATTTCTTATAACCTTTCGACCAAACCGCGAAAGAAGATTGGATGATTGACTAAATGGAGCGCGGAATAAAGAGATTTGTATCGTGTTTTCAATGTGTATTTGTCCATTGTAGAATGTGTATATCATATTTTTTACGCCTAATTAACTTTTGCATGAGTCCAGCGTGTGAAAAATTATAATTTCTAATAATTTCTAAACGATATAATATTTACAAAGAACGTATTTTTTAAAGAAAATAAAATATTTTAAAAAATAATTAAAAGATTGAAGTTTCAAACCAAAAGAAGTGTTTAAATGTTTTCCTTTTTTAAAAAAATGATCATTTTGTATATTCTAGAATTTAAAAACCGGATTTGAAATAAACTAGTGTCGTGTATATCTTCTCCTTCGAACCAATACACCTAATTCTTTAGTCTTCATATTATTATGTATATTTAAATATTCGATTTTTTTAAAATTAAATAATATTTATTGGAAAATGCGTGATTTTTTTAATCAATTATTATAAAGCTTTTAATTGTAGTATACAAATTTAGGAATATTTAATATTTTTCAAAATAAATTCCAATAATAAGTTTAAAATAATTTTTTTTATAATAATCTTTCTATAATAACACTCTACAAAACTACTTTTTTTTTAATTTAAAAAAAAAATATGCTGTTTATTATTGAGATTATAAAATATAGATATAAAAATATATTTTAATCAATAACTTATTGCAGATAACCTAAAATATTTATTATTATTTTTTTATTAAATATTTTATTAAATTTTTATTAAGTTTTTAAATAAAATATTTTAAAAAATTATATCACCACTGTTCACATGTATAAAAGATCGATGCTAAAAACTAAACTTGGAAACTATATATTTTAAAAAATAACAAAAAGATTTTCGTTTCATCTTTTTATTTATAATTCGATGATTTGCCAAAAAAGAGTTTTCTGGGTTTCATGTATATTTTTTTTATTAATTACACCCAGGTTTAGCATTTCGAATTTTTTAATAATTCAAATCCAATAACTCTCTTTTTCGAGTAGTTATAATCGTTCTGATATTTACTTCTAATAAAAATAATTATACATATTTTTTCTAGTGTTATTAAAATGACTAGTTTCAAGTAACCAAGTTATCTTTTTGCTAACTGTAACTATTTACTTCTAACGAAATGTAACTATGTAATTAGTTGCATTTTTTACACATGGAGGTATAATAATAAAAGCATAGAAGAGATCTCCTGACCCTAAGCCATTTTAATTTTTTTTAGATATAACCAGGAATTTTATTTTTAAAATACCCGGGTCGTGCCGTATATTTTAAAATCGAAGATTTTAATTCCCCATTAGTAGTAGCTATACGGGCCTGACCGAAATATCTTTATTTTAAATCCGGGCCGGTGCTAATGGTACCTTTGCACTGGTAAATTCTTATGAGATTTAATTATTTGAAGTGATTATGTGCCATTAAAATATAATATCACATTGTTAATAAAATAGTGGTTATTTTATTAATCATATCCTACTTCTTCTGATTACTGCGGATTGGCTGTAAAAACTATACAAATAAAATCACGCCTTTATATGATAGATTGTTATAAAAGTACCCATAAATACATTTAAAATAGTATATATGCTAGCTGTAAAGTGTTTCCAACTGTTTTTTCTTCAACTTTAAGTCATTTTTTGAGTGTTTTTTTAAATTTAAAATTCTGATTTTACTATAAATGTATTCCATCATGTTTGATGTCTCTCCTATAAATTTATGAATTTAATATAGTTTATATTAGTGTTTCCACATGTTTTTTAATATAAATTATAAATAACTCAAAGGTTAACGGCAAAAGTGTCTACAATTCATAAAATAGATAGTCTAAACATGCTGGAATACATTTCTGGTAAAATCAGAATTTTAAATTAAAAAACTCATATTGAAAATATAACACATTGACTGAAAAAACAGATTGCCGCTAACATATATATATAAATTTTGTTTTTTTTTTATTTCAAGGGAGATTTTTTAGTTATATGTAAACTCCAAGACACATAATTTTATTTTTATTACAAAACTTTTATTTTTATGATAAATTTAATGTATAAATGCTTGTGTACCAGCAAATATTATATTTAAAAAAAATAAATCCATATAATTATTGACACGTGTCTAGACTTTTAGTGTAACCGAAACTATCGACTCTAATCTCATTTTTGACAATTATTGACATGTGTTTTCGATCATACTCATTCCTAGGCTGATCCTAACCTAAACTTCTACTCTGAACTATCCTCGGGATATTATTGAAACTTTTTTTTGTAGATTCTAATCGTAATCCCACTTTTAAATTAATTTATCATGGTAAAAGCGACTACGACCACTACAGCTAAATTTCCTTTGTTAACAAGCTCATGCCATATTCGTCCGGCGATTTCTTTCAATCTCGAGTTCACCCTTTTATAACAGGAAGTAGCCTCTCCAGAAATAATGTAACTACCGTAGTTCCCACCCAATTCCTTGTAGTTTAGGTAGTGATTATGACGGGGGATACAACATTTGTAATTTAACGCCAAAAGTAGTTACTTTTCACGTTATTTTTAAAATATTTATGTATGTCTCATTCATGGGGTTCCTGAAACCGAATCCAAATTTTCAGGATTCGATGAATCTTTTATTAAGAATTTTAGTTTCAGCGAAAGATTGGCCGAGCCAAATCCCAATTTTTCTTAAACAACTTAAAGCTTTTCCTTTATTTAATCTTGTGAAGATGACAAGCTTGTTTTGTTTAACTCATACAAAGTAAGCCATACCTCTTATTCATAGTTAATACAAATTTGTGGCGAATTTTAAAAAATAAGCTTTTTTTTAATATTCTCCGCACTAATTTCTCGTTAACTATGAATGAGAGTTTACTCAGCATGATTTGAATTCATGGCTAAGGTTACAAAATATTCTGTATTTTTGCATATTATTATATATTTCGCCGCGAATTTGGGCTAACAGTGAATGCAGGGTATCCTTGTATTTATCTTTTTTTTACATATATAATTTTTACTAATTTTTATAGCTTCAAAAAGAAATTCATATTTCGTTTAAATTTATTATTCAAAAATCAAAATTTACGGATCGACGTAGAGAAACTTAGAAAATTGAAATTTCTATATTACCAGTTTTTTATTTCGATTTGTTTAAAAAAAAATAAAATTTAAAAAGATTGATATCTTAATTTTGCAAGAAAATATTGTCGGGCATAGTGAGTCGCGTCGCTTTTTCTCTTACACTCATGTCTCCTTTATAGAAGTGCCTATCACTCAAGCAATGCGACATGTATCGCTTGGTATTTTTCACATGAAAGACATCATTATAGATCATAAATTTTACCTATTATCGTGTCGCATCGCCTAAACGATAGGTATCGGATTGCCTGAGTGATACGAGTGAGGCCTCAGTGTCTGCAAATTTTTGAATTAAAATTAGATCCAAATTATTCGACGAGTCATTTAATCTATTGGTTTTTTTAAAAATGTTATTATTTACAGTGGAAAGAAAGAAAGAGAATATTAAGATCCCCCCCTCATACATTCATTATCAATATAACATGATTTCCCTAATTTAAAATTAGTGTTTATTATCTCAATTGCATTTGTTTAATCTAGGGATCAAACTGGTATTTTAGAGTTAGACACCAATTTTGTTTATTTAAGTCAAGCAATAAATTATTAATCCCAATATATTTTTGAAATAAATATTATGTCGTGTTATTTATATATTTATTTTTTGTCAGCTTAAAATGAATTTAATCGTTTTTATTATTTTATTTACACGGTTTTTTTTAAATATAATTTAGTTCCATTTATTCAAATAAACAATTAATTTCGCGGAATAAAAAAAATATCAGTAGTTCTGATTTAATAGATTAGGTGTATCTTTACTTTGCCTTATTTTGGTAATTGAATTAATAAAAATAATGATTATTTTAATGTCTCAAATTATAACTATCTTATTAATAAAATATTAAATTAAATTGTAGTTATCATAGACTTTGTTTTCTAAAGTAAACTTTTGACATATGAATTGCTTTTTGGCATTCAATTAGCTAATGACCAAAAATAGAAACATATAAACCTATTTATCCTGCAGTAAAAAGAATACTGAATTTAATTATTTTTTCTTTAAAAAACCAATTTAGAAGAAATGTTTTTGAGGCTCTTCTTTTTTTATTATATTATTGTAATATTGACTTTTTTTTATATGTGGATGTGTTTCATGATTCAACAAAAATAATAAATTAAAAAAACTTTTGTAATTTATATTAGCCTTATTTCTTTGAATAAAAAAAAATTAATTTTATATTATACTTAGATAAATTATAATAACAATAAGAAAAACCAATCAATATGCAACACATTTTCATAATAAAAACTATGTTTTAAAATGTTAAATCGATTTTTGTTTAAGTCTAAATAACAGTGTATAATTTGCAACAATTAATAATAAATATATAATGGTTTATTAGAATTTTTAATAAAAAAAATGAAAATTGTGTATTACATCATGTAGAATGCCCAAAACAAATTTTTTTATTAACATTATTTTGTAGTTATATACAAATAATAATTTTCAAAATATATTACTATGAGTGGTTTATTTTACTGTCCTGAAACTTTTATATTAAACCAATTTCTTAAGCTTTACTTCCAATATCCGCTGTCACGGGGATGAGGAGGGGGTTATTATATAGCTATTACTCATATTTTTTTTTATAAATAGGGATTGAACTAATTCCTACAATTTTTTACAGCAATTTTAAAATTTAGAAGTTAGGATTTTAAAAATCTTGCATGTAAATTATTAAATAAAATTTGTTCAAATTTTTTATTCGGTGTAGATATACATAATATAATAACAAAAAAGTGTCCAATTCGTATTAACTTCATTATTCTCCCCCACTATATTTTTAATAATCACTTCTCTTCTTTTATCATCAACTTCAAATAAATATTCATCGCAATAATTTCTTTTTTTTAAAATACTACTTTGAGTGTCATATTTCCTTTTTTTATTAACAAATAATATTAAAAAATCTTTTTAAATAAAAAGTAATAAAATAAAATTTTAATCTCAACAGAAGGATCGAGAGAGAGAGAGTAATCTTCTAATGATGTATATTAATGACAATGCCATTTTTTAAATATCAAGAGAATATTTTTCACTATTGAAAAAAATATTTAATTCATAAAATTATTTTTCTTATAGTTCTCATAGAATTTTATTGAAATAATAAAATTACAAAAAAATTATATTTAATTTTTAAAAAATTCCTATATTTTTTATGGTGTCTATTCAGAAAAATTTCTGAAATTCATGGTTATCTTATATTTGTAAAATAAAGAAATATATGAAGACACCCATGAACTTTTTTTCCAAACATATTAAAAAGATCATATAATATCTAATAGCTGTATTATTGCATGATTGCTGAAATTTTTAAAAGCCATATATAATAATGCTCTTCTAGATCATTAACTAATCGGGCATTGTTTCATCTGGCATGAACAATGTTGTATTTAAAAATTTCTTCAAATAGAGTAAAT